CCCCAGTATCCAAGACAACAATTTGCTGCTAGATTCCCCAATTCATCTCCTGGAGCTGTTGATTTGCTTGAAAAAATGCTTGTCTTTGATCCAAGCAGGCGTGTTACAGGTAAAGATAATTCATTAGAACTTTCTTTGAGACAATTCTAACTCATAATTCTATATTTAGAAACAAAGTTTTATGCTGAAACTGATTTTGCCATTGCTAATCCTCTTTATGATCTTTTGCAGTTGATCAAGCGCTCTGCCACCCCTACTTGGCGCCTCTTCATGATATCAATGAGGAGCCCATTTGTCCTAAACCTTTCAGTTTTGACTTTGAGCAGCCATCTTTTACTGAAGAAAATATCAAGGAGCTCATCTGGAGGGAATCCGTGAAATTTAATCCAGATCCAACTCACTGAGAGAGACGCTGTTTTACAATTTATGCAGTTAAGAGTTCGGTGACGTAACTTTGTAGAATACTGTATCAAACTTTGTAATGTTCCCCAGTAAAAATATAACAAATGCAGTGGAGGTGAGTTCACAGCTCTGATATTAGCTTATGTTAGATTTGTTCTATTAATCTTTCAAAGTGATCAATGCTGTACAAAGGAGCTAAAACCAAACTTGAATGGCAGTCCGTGATCAGAACATTTCCAAGTACCAATTCCATCTTGACACCAGATTCTTCTCTGAGTGGTAGGACTAGGAAATCCTGAGTGATTACAGCTTGTTATCCTGAAAATTTGACCCTATTGCTTTCAAGTAATTTGACGGTAGATGTATGTATTTTTTAGTTTGGATGCCCTGTGTGATTGTAGATCTGTATGCCTATAAACAAGCACCTAGTTTTCTTGATTGGCTCATTGTTCTTTCTCAGCTAAAGTGAGAATTTGCTATCTTGCATGTGTCGATAACAATTCCTGCCTGGTGCCATGTGCTTATGGTTTGTCTCTCTTAGATGTGTTAATCATGTTGAAGGGTGGAACCATAGTTTTGCTTCTCATAGCGTAACATGAAATCCTTGTATTTGTAGCATAAAATTGAGTGGGAATTCTATAAGTAGCCATGAAAAGTACTGATAGTTCACTAAAATTATAAAACTGGTACATGTAAGGAAAGCTTATCAGTAATTCAATCTATAAGAACATCTTTGCATCTCTATGTTATCTATGGGTAAACTTTCTGTAGGAAAATCACACATCCTCCTACTCTTCTTTGGGCCCTGATCAGCTAGCAACTGACAAGGTGGAGGTTGCACACTGCTGCTAATTCCTTCAATATTAGTGCAAGTCCATGGATATTTCTTGGCCTTCTTTGCTAAACCAATTGTCACATTGGACATGCAGATTCCAGTGAAAGGATCCCCGGACAACCCCTCTAGCTGGGCGGCCATTGACACGTTCTCAGCCACCACATCCCGGTAATTGATCCCTTTTATCTCTGGTAAGGCTTTAGGATCCCAGTGAGTGTCAGCGTGTGAACCATAGTTACCTGTCATCCAAAATACCCATTTTATGGTGTGCAGTTTCATCCCCTTGACATATACATCTTTGACGAACCCGCCTCGTCCCACGGCTGTCTTTATCCTTACCCCTGATTCTGTGTTGATGGCTATAATGTCTTGAACTCTCACATCTTGAATTCCGCCTGACATTTCACTTCCTAATGCTATTGCTGCACTGTAAGGTGAAATGCAAGTGAGACGTCTGATGATCAGATGACTTGTTGGCATTCCATATTTTATACCATATTCATCCCAGCCACTTTTCACTGCTACACAGTCATCTCCAGATACAATGTAGTTGTCCTCTAGTCTTATATTTGTGCAAGAATCTGAAATTTTTGAGAAATAAGAAGAATTGATTAGATGAGTTTCCTTGACTTGTTTTATTAAAATGCTTTTAGAAAAAGAAAAAAAAAAGGACCTGGGTCGATTCCATCAGTGTTTGGGGATGTTACAGGTGCTAAAATAGTGAGGCCTTGGATAATGATATTGCTGAAATTTCAGAAGCATGAGATAATGATAAAGTTTAACAAACTAAATAATCAACATGTAAAATAATGTAGATTTGGCTGATAAATTAAACCTGCTATAAACGGGATGGATATTCCAAGAAGGAGAGTTGACAAGGGTTAGATTTGATATCTGAATTTTATTAGAATGCATGAGTTCAATCAAGTAAGATCTTGTGTATTTTAGCTTTTTCCTGTGAAATTGTTGCCACCAGACAGCACCCTGCCCATCTATTGTCCCATTCTCACCTAATCATGCAGAAAAGACAAGTCTCTTTTTAAAATGTTGAAAGATAGAACATAAATTTATTCATTTTTAATGTGGATATAGTAAGACTTTAGTTACCTGTGATGATGACATCTGTGAGGTTAGTACCAAAAATGAGACTGATATACCTGCCTCCTGGTGCATCCCTCCCATGACCATAGGATGGTAAGGGGTCTATCAGGGGCCACTGGTTTATTTCCTGAACCAATTAAATGACACTCTTATTAATAGCAATGAACATGAACTTTGAGTTGTCAACTCTTATCGACGGCCGCTTCAAAGCAGTTGTGGTTAGGGATGACAATGAGGTGGTGCGGGTTAGAGACCATGCGGGGTGATGTGGGTTATATGTTGGTTGCGGTTGTGGAGATCCTGTCGATTTGTCACTTGGATGGTGGAATGGTTCTTTCCAAAATGTGTGTACCTTGACACTTATCAGAAGTTTTTTTTTTTTCCTGGGGCAAAATTTTTAAAACAATAAATATCCAAAAGCTTATTTCTAAAAGGTTATTTCGAAATATTATTCAAACAACCCCTGTAGGTGAAAATCGTTAGTCCTGTGACTAGCAGCCCAAGAAATTATAAGATTTTGTGGTAACACAACTTAGGAAAAGTTGACCAACGTGGAATATTCCAGTATATAATTATTAGAGTGCAACTTAATTTCAATGCTAATTACTACAATTACAGTATATATCGCAATGATTGCAAATCATAGTCCATCAAGTTTTCTACAGTTGTCGAAAACCATTTTGAAAAGTAAGATCTCTTGTCATGGGATAAAAAAAAATCTAAATGCAAAAAGACAAAAAAAGTTGAAGAAAGTTTAAGCGGGTGAAAACAAAAAAAAAATTGTTTTGCGGGGGCGGGGCGGGTTGAATTTTTGTGGGTTAAGACTGAACCCGCCCCGCCACCGCAGCCCCATTGCCATCCCTAGTTGTGGTTTGGCAACCTATCTTCATTATGTGCCTTTAGTTTATTGGTTAGAGTAGGGATGGCGAGAGAGAGTGGTGTAGACACTTTAATATTTACTTTTTCTTTTTCACAACAAATTTTCTTGTCTAGTTTAGAACTTTGAAATTCCAATACAAGAAATAAATCAAAATTGAAATACATATATATATTCTACTAACTATTTTATGAAACTCTGGTAAAGATTATTGAAAATATGAATAGTACCTAGTACCTGAGAAGCAAGAAGAAGAGCATCCTTGTGAAGAAAAAGAGTGAAATGGCTAGTAAGATTGAAACTAGCAGTGAGCCAGTGACCAGCAGGGATAACTAGCTGAGCTCCACCATCTGATGCATATTGGCTCAGTTGATTCACTGCTTTCTGAAATGCCTTTGTGTTGAGTGTTTTTCCATCTCCTATTCCTCCAAAATCTTTTATGGATGCACTGTGCTTTCTGCACTTTATTGCTGAGTATGTTAACTCACTTGTCTTTCTTCCCTCTCCTCTCTCTATACTTGAAAACACCACTCCCATAAGGACTAATAGCAACCAATCCGTCTTCGCCATCTGCAAGAATATAATAAAGCAAGATATGATTTCGAACCCTAGCCGTTAGATGGTGAGAGTTAGCATGTATCCGGATTATTAATAAATAAATATAGCAAGATATGATTTCGAACATTTTTTAGGAAAGTAAACACAATTAAGGAAAAAGCAATTATAATGGCATATTTCTAGAGTCTGGACTCAGAATTGGTCTTTGCATGAACATTTTCTAGGACAATCACACATGAGAACATTTTGAAGGTGAAGAATTGCTTTTTTAGAGCCAGGATTTGGTGTAAAAGATAAAATGAATTACAATCTGCACTTTACCATGGAAGAAAGGAGTGAAGTAAATTAATGTTTTGGTAGTTCACTTGAGCTCTACACAACCACTCTATTATTTAGCTGGAATATGGTGAATGGAGTTGCTTTGTTGTTTTGGTACAAATACAAAAAAGTGGTATATATAGGCAAAGTTCGAAACTAGAATAGGTGCTGGTAAAGTTTTACCATACAAACACTTACGTAGGATATAGACTCTATTAGAAACATATCAACTATGAATTATGACATGACACAAGAAACTATAAAAGCAAGATATATGATTTTCCACCATATTAGGTATATGTGAATTACATTATTCCTGTTGTTGAAAAGTGAAATGGATGTAAAAGTGGCAAAATTGGGGGAAGAAAGTCAAAAGTGGTTTGTTCTTGGTCGTTTCAGTTAGGCAGTAGTTACTACGTGTCCCAATATATTCAACTTTTGTTGAAAGATAACCCCTTACTTCAATCTCGTGGGCTCATCTATAACAATAGTTGGACGTTGGTATTATCACTTTTAGCCCGCCCCAGAAACTATTTACATGGTAGCCGAAAACGTATATAAAACTTGTATAATTTTTGTATATAACATACAGAATGTATATATATACAAAAAATATATAACTTTTATACATTTTTTCGGCTATTATTTTTACAGCGGCAGTGTCATTTTTCCATAAAATTATTACTATAATTAAAGGAAACATACTTTCTAATAACTGATCGAGTACTAACCTTATAGTGTAGTAGTAAACATAGTTCCAAATCAATTATCTGAGAGGAAACAAGTAAATTTTTACCCCATCAATTGCTCTGCAATGTACTTTTATTAATATCAATAAAAAGTTACAGAAGTGGAAAAAGAAGCAGACTAAACATGATTAATTGCTTGGAGTACCAAAGACTAATGATTTTAAGGCACAGATTTATTCCTATTAGTTTTCAGATACTCAATAAAGCTAGCAATGTAAGAATCATGCAACTTCCTATCTCCAAAAATAGAAGTAGCTTTTGTTGTTCTTGCCCTGAGCTCTTCACTTTCTTTAGAAACCATGGCGTATGTCAACGCGTTAGATATATCATTTCTAGTAAATGAACCATCTTCTTCATTTCTCTCCACTTCAACTCCCAGTCCTTTTTCTACTAACATTCTTGCATTTAGGCCTTGATCATACATTAATGGCAGAAGAACAAGAACATGACCATGTTGCAGACTTTCTGCAACAGAACCCCACCCTCCATGATTTAGAGTAAACCCAATACAAGGATGTGCTAAAATTTCCTTTTGTGGGGCCCATCCAATGTGCACCACCCCTAATTTTTCCCCTCTTCTCAATCCAAAACTTGTAGGCAAAGGATCTGAATTAATCATCCAACTACTCTTCTGTAGTATCCATATGAATGATAGCCCAGAGAGCTCAAGCCCATATGCTATTTCATCCACCTGGTCTTTACTCGGTTCCATTTCGCTTCCAAACCCAACGAATAAAACTGACATGGGTTTCTGTTGATCGAGCCATTTGAACATTTCCTGCCATAATATTGACTGATCATCATCTTCGTAATTGAAGCTGCAGTTTCTTGACGTTTCAGCGGGTGGTAATAATCCAACTGGAATGGCAGGCTTGTTGATTACTTTATGTACCGCATCCAAATACTCACCATCAAATTCTTGGCAACCTCGTATAGCCATGGCTTGACATGCAAAAATTATATCGGCTCCACGATTGGGCATATGACACCCCTGAGGCGTCTTCTTCAAAACATGAGGACATAATCTCTGATGCTTCATACCTCCGGTAACACAAAGTCGACGACGGAACTTGCAGCATCTCAGACGCTGGTGAGGTGAAACTTTCAACTACTGACTTGTCTGTAGCTGATGCAGCAATTGAAAAACCTACTGCAGCAGCAGGAAAAATACTAAAGTAAATTAAAGGTATATCGCGAGTTTCAGCAAACTCAACTATCCAATATTGGGCGAAATCGACAATAATCCAATCAGGTTTTTTATCTGCAATGAACTGTTCGATTGGTTCTTGGAGAAGATCATAAGCTGCTTTCAGGTACTGGAGTTGTTCTAAATAATTAGGAAGATCAGAAGTAGCTTCAACATCTTCAGGCAAAAGACTCTTGTCGTCAAGAGTTGGCATTGGAAATTCCACTAGTTTTACAAGGTGTGCTAAGTTTGGGGGAACTTTAGGGAGTCTTTTGATATTTCTGGAAGTGGATATGAATGAGACATGAATTCCTCCTACTTTGGCTAAGGATATGGAGAGATTGAAAAATGGAATAAGGTGACCAAATGCAGACCATGGTAGCATTACTACATGAACATCACTCTTACTCATTTTTGTTGCTAGTTATTAACTCTCTTAATTCCACTATTTGTGTGAATGAGAAAGATAAAGATACAGCCCTTATATAT